TTCGACATCCTCGCCGTCATCGTAGAGCCACTCCTCAGTTTTCGAAAGCAACGCTTGAAATTTGTCAGCATCCTGTAATAAATAACCCGCAGCCAATGCCCTCAACTGCAAAGGCATTTGCCTCCCCCCGTTGCTTTATTGCAAGCACCAATGCTATAATTACTGGTAAAGCAACAGGGAGGGGAAAAAATTATATCACCAATGTATAGAAAGATTTTCAGATGCAAGCAAATTAGAATTCAGGACACTACCAATACTACCGCGGTCGTTACCGTAAATTCCACGGGCTGAATGTGAGGGCTAACTTTGAATTTGCGGGAGTCACACATGCGCGGAGAACATTTCTCTAAAATTTTAGTTTCCTGGGCTTGTATTTCCCGCGATAATAATTTTCCATGGGGCCTTAAGTGGTGTCTAGGCGTAAAGGTGAAGGCTGAGTTTAAACTTGCGGGGTTACGTGTGAGTAGGGGACATCCCCTAAAATTTTAGCTTCCTAGTCTTTGTGGTTCCTAAGCTGAAAGTGTGTGACAAAACGCTCTCTCTCTCACACACACACACACACACACACACACACACGCGCACGCACACGCACACACACACACACACGCACGCACACGCACACACACACCTACACGCAGAAACACACACAGAGACATGACAGTAAAGATATGCGTTTTGTGCTGCTGTTATACGGCGAAAAAGGCACAAGAACCTGGACTTTAAGCATTTTCATATGTTTTACTTACAATTTGTCCTCATACCCTGCTAGTTTCCCCATTCCTTCTTGCACTTTTTTACAAATAAATGTCTAAATTTATTTTGTGTTAATTCTGACTAAAAAAAAACTTTACAGAAAGCTAACTGGCTGCGCATTATATATATGCAAAATTGCTCCAAAAATTAACAATTCACGATCCAAGCGGCCAAAGACTCTCACCTCCTTGGTAATAAATTCGGCGCATGTATCGGATAATTTATCACGTATATAATACACATATTCCTCAACAGCATTTTTGGAGTCGATTTTTTCTTTTTCCATTTTATCTCTTCGTTGCATCAGTTTCTGTAATCAAACCGATTACAATACCTTACTTTCTGAATAGGTAAAACTTGAAACACTTCACTGAACTCCTGTGTTGCCCTAATAAAATGAACTGCCCCAACCGAAAAAGATCGCAGCAGAACGAAGAAGCCAGGCTAAGG